ATGAAAATGCATCCTGCATATCAGATATTTACTTGACGATTCGATTCGTAACAGTAGCAAAATGACAGCTATGAAGTAGGAACGAAAATAATTTTATGGCTGGGGGCCACCACAACATGACGGCCTGTCTGAAAGGGTCACAGCATCAGGAAGGTTGAGAACCACTGCTTTAGAAGAAGAGGGGAAAGGACCCTGGTCGGTGTATGGGGCCTCCTTGGGGCAGAGACAGCTCCTGGGACCAAGAACCAGATGTGTGTTGTCCTTCCCCACCCCATAGTTTTACTCTGGGGAACTCAGTTTAAAATAAAATTTAAGATCACAAGCATTTTTTGAAAGTCAGGCAGAGGTTAAAGATGAATATCCAGAGGATGAGAGTTGAAGCTTTGCATGATTTAGCCCTTTTGGGGGAGGGGAATAGAGACAGCCAGTTAGTTTGTCCCACTAAGTTCCCATGGTTAATACTCCCCTTTCCTTCACTCCTTCCCCACTGTTAGTGGGGGCTGGGGATAGGAGGCAGCGGTGTAGAGGAGCCCTTCTGTTTAAAAGAAAGACAGAAAAAGAGCCCGGGAAGACTTGGAAGCTGATGGTAACATGGTTGAAGAGGCAAAGGAGAGGGGCTGTGGGGGACAGGTGGCTGGCCTCCCATCAAATCTTAGCAGTTCTGTGACAAGGGGTGTGTAAATGAGGATGGGTCTGCACTGTCAGAGCATTCAGGTTTCGGACCCCAGGCGTGTCTCTTTTGTGTATTTTGCTTCTGTGTGGGTCGGCTAGTTATAGCCACATTTCCGTGTGATGCTCAGTTCTCCTACAGCTGATCCTTCCTCCCACCTCCCACGATCTCGATCAGTTCTATGACTCAGCTGCTTCTCAGGACATCTGAACGGCCTCCCCCCGCCCTCCTTCGCCCTGGGGATAGGCCCCCAAGAGATTGTTTCATAAGCAGGACTCTTACCCAGGTACCTTTTCTTGTGGTACGTATGTGAGATTCTTCCCACTCCTGGATCCATGCAAATGGGCAGCCCCCTTAAGTCAGGTAATCTGGGGGGAAGGGAATTGTAGAGCTCCCTTCATAAGGTGGACTAGGGGAAGGGGATTATAGGACATCTTCTAGCCTCTGACTTAAGAAAGAGACAGACATCAGTTAATTCTGTAAGCTGAAACGGGAAAAAATCGAAGGCCAAAATTCAATCATATGCCGTGCTTCCCCACTAGGTCCAAAGTCAGTCAGCCTTGTCATGTCATAACAATTGACAATACTTTCTCTTTGCGCTCCTGAAGAGAAGTGGCAGTTCACCCACCCTGGGAAATCCTGCCTCTGTATCCTGGGCTGCTGTCAGGGGAATTTACTTCATTTTCTTAGTGGGCAGGTAACCTCCCCCACCCTGCCCTGCACCCTGACTGTTAGACTGATCCAGTCTTTCTGGGTGGAACTTCCCCACCCCCCCAACCCCCACCCCACCCCGATTCCCTGTGGGGAAGCAACATCCGTTCTCTCTGATATGTTCCTTCCCACAACCAGTGCCAGTCCCATCCCCTCCCATCTCTTATATCTGCTGGAAGATTCCTAGCTTCAATTCAGGGAAGAGACTTAAGTTCCTCCTACGGCATTTGTTCCTGGCTCTTGGCTTGTGCCCATCTCTTTCCCTTTCTGGAACACGAGGTTGCTCCTTTGTGAAACTGGAGTTGGGATAGGACGCATAGTTTGGGACGGTGCCGAGCAAACAGTGCATCTGGCTGCTGGCGTGCTGCTGTCTCTAAGGTAAGTGATGCTTCTCTGGGCAGGATGGTCCTCTCCTCCCCAGCCCCCACCCACGCCATGGGCCTTCACTTCCACTATACTTCTACTTCCTTTTCCACCGTCTTTCCCAAACCTTATTCCACTTCTTCTTTTTTTTCCCAAAGTACAAATCACCCAAGGCCCACACGTCCTGTAAACCATTCAGCCCCTCCAGCCAGTGTCCCATGTGCTTTATAGGCGGAAGAAGATGGGGCACCTCATTTCCCAGGAAGATGGAACCTCCAAATCCTGCCACCCCACCTCCAAGCCTGCCTGCTTCCTCCCCCCTTCCCGCCTGTGCTGGTGGTAGAGGCTGCTCAACCTTGAGGGAGGGGGAACACAGGGCCTCTGGTAGGCATTTCCTCTCCTCCCATTTGCCTCCCCTACCCCCTTCAGATTTGCTGTTCTAAGTAGTTGCCATAGAAGATT